CCAATAAATATTCCGTTTCAACTTGTCAATAGAAATCTCAAGCTTCTTTATAGAATCACGACACGACTCCGATCTCGAATAAACTTTGTTACGTAATTAAAGCGTTTAACTTTTTTATTAAATCACGGCATAGACGAGAAAAATAATTATGGAAAGAAAAAAAACGTTATTGGGTGCAATGAAGCGCAAAACGTAATATAAAACAATATACAAACACCAAAAGCAATTTGCTCGGAGATAAAGACACAAATTAAAAATTAATTCAAGTAAGGGATAATTGATCGTCTTTTAATTTAATTCGAAGAAATAAACATTGTTGATTTATTAATTGAGTTGAAGCGAAATATGCAGAAAAGCACGTTCTGGTGTTTCATTAAATAAATCAAAATTATAACAAACTTGTAACAATATATCTTCAAAATTTTTATAAAATATTCTATTTACAAAAAAAATATTCAGCAGATCTGTAAAGTATTTAAAAAAAATAGTATCTATATTGATATACTAATTTTTTTTATTATTTAATAAGAAACAAATATTGAAAAAGTAGTTTTTTTATAATTTGGATCTGATATAAACTTTGCTGATCCGTTATAAATTTGCTTTACGATAGTCTCAGGATAAATTTCACATACTTAATCCTTCGTTATCCTTGATGAGGTCTAAAATCGATTCTAATTTACCGATTACGACTTAGACCCTCAATAGATGTAATAGACGAAGCTTCAGTGAAGTAATTTAAGTAAAGCCATAAATATAAATTAGGTGACTTTATAATACAAATTTAGTCCAGTCATTTAAATTTGAATTAGGTAAGAATCTCAAAATTCGAAATATCCAGCTGTAAGTAGTCTGTAAATACCCTAAAATAGCACCCTCAAAGTTGTCCCAAAACTTATATATGATACGTACACACTTACCATATGTAGGTTTTGAGACAACTTGTGCATGCCAGTAAATACATCTTTTTTTAAAAAAAAACTGATATAATATTGGAATATAAAAATGATATAATATTAGATTTATAATGATTTTGTATTAAAAGTTGTCTCAAACCTACATAGGGTACGTACACCCTACCATATGTAGGTTTTGAGACAACTTTTAGGGTGGTGCTATTTCAGGATATTTACAGACTAACAGTTTGGTACCTTGATCAAATAGGAAGATTGAAACATAAGTTTTATAATAAAATTAGATAGAAAACCAGGTACAATTTTAATTTAATATATTTTCCTATTATCTAATAAAATAAAAATGATGTATATAAAAATGCAATCATATTTTTATAATCTATGTCGGCAACACCTTTCACCACGCTAATTTTGTTTAATTTATATTTTTATTTTTACTTCACTTTATAATTTTCATTTAGTTTCTTAATTATTATTACTTATTATGTATATTGTTTACTTTATTTTACTGTTCTCTTTATTACCTAAGAAAGCAATTTTGTATTATATGACTTTTTAAGTCTTGATTGCCAAAATAATAAATAAATAAGAAAAAAAAATTATAATAAAGTCAATGCAACACCGATGTTATATCTTACCCTGACTGAATTATATTATGTTAAACAAAAATAGATCTCATGTGGAGATCAAAATTATTTTTATATAAATGTATATATTTTAGAGGTTATAAATAAACAAATCACACAAAATATTTGTGAAATTTACTACTACAAAGCATAATACAAAATTATACTAGTGACGTCTAATTGGTATTGGCACAGTGATTCGGATTAACCAGTTAACTTTGGCACCCTCGAATCAAGATAAAAAAAAATATGGTAAAATTTCACTTACAGCTATTCGTTTAATTAATTATTAATTGAAACCTATTATAAAAGCTGATAAAATAATCTTACTAAATCTAAGTCCTTGTCCCATTCTGACTCTCCTTCTATGAAATAAGATATTGTAAACCATATTTATTGGCCGAATATAATCTTCAGTAATACGCCGTTGGCACTAAGATGAGCCATCGATTAACTTATCATAATGCGACATAAAGGAAATTGGAAACCGGTATGTTATGCTATCTGGGAAGTACAGATATTTCAGGTTGAAATATTAAGGCCATGTATTCTGAGGCGTACGCATCGTTTGGGATGAATAATGCACTCGATATACGCCTCGGTACACGATAAATAAATATATATTATATAGATTTATGAGAAAATCGTGGCGAAGTATTGATTTTGCTAATCTATGCTATATAGTGCAGTACTCCATATAAGAAAATGTTTTTGAAGTTTATGCTCGTAATAAAAGCAGAATAGACGTCCATTCTAACCAATTGGCAAGTCAAGTACATCTGGAAGGACAACCGACCAGACCTAAAAGAAAAATACCTGGAAACTTCATGTTACTATATTTTATTGTTTTTATTTCTTTTGTTTTTAGTTTTTTATATTATTATATCTTAATTAGCTTTAGTAGATACGCCACTGGGGATATCTTCTCTTAATGTAATAAAGGGGGTATCTCATTCTCTGCTTAATATAATAATATATACAGATTGCAAAATAAAATTGAAATAAAAAATATAATATATATAAATATATAACAATTGCTCTCCATTTCTTCAATAAATGCCTACATAAGTGTACGAGTATGTGAGTCTAAATTTTATCTGTTAATAAAATTTTCTCAAAAATGCTACACCGATTTCAAAAATTGAGAACCTATTTTTATATGGCCAATTTCATCTCGATATCGTATCTTTATAATTAGCAAAAAATTACAAAAGTTTTTATTTACGTTTTAACCAAAAATTCCGAACCAGTTTTGAAAATACAAGAAAATGCATTTTTAAAGACATTTTTGAAACTTTGTATTATGATAAAATTTATTCATCCTAACAAATATCCTGATATATTACGAAAATGATATATTTTGGAAAAGTTCACATAATTTCGTAGTAATTGGGCGTGTAAAAATTTCAAAATTATATCTTCACAATCTTAGCAGGTTCTAAATCTCATTTGTTACTGATTAATCGATTGAATTTCCTTGTGAAAAAATGCCACACAAACCAAATTTTATATAGTTATTTTCACATATCACACCCTTAATAAATTTCCTGGGGGCAAAATGCCACCCAAACCAAGTTTTATATAATTATTTTCGCATATCACACCCTGTGTTTCATACATATTAAATTTATAAAATGAGATGATTAGTTAGAATATTAAAAATTAGAATAATAATACCTAGTAACAAACTAAAATTTGGCACACCCTGTGTTTCTATATATTTAATTTATAAAATGAGATAATAAGTTAGAGTATTAAAAATTAGAATAATAGTATCTAATAGATCATACACATAAATTTCTCTGACAATATATCATAGAAATAGAAACGTTTTTAGTTTGATTATCGAATAGGTTCAAACATTACTCATTTTAATATTACGATTTATAAAATGTGCTCGTATGAAAATTAAACGAATTATTCATCATTATTACGTGAAAAGCTCTGTCGAATTCAAACAGCAATTTATATTGGATTAACTCATATTTATATTCGTGATGAAAATTACTAAATTTAATACTAATTATATTTTATACGCATAATGAACGTACAAAATTAATATAATTGTAATATTACACACTTTTATTCAAATTTTTACAAAAGATGTAATTACTAGCATACACAAGGAACAAAATGATTACAATACGTCGTAAAGTTTATCCCATATAAACAAATGAACTTCCGCTAAAAACTACATATTTTTC